CAATGTCATAAAACAATATGTGTACTACTGTTTCATGAGAAACTATTTGTTCTGTAAGCCTTCACCTGAAGTACAATAAAAAAATAAAATAAAGTACAATGAAAAAAATTAAGAAAATGTAAACCAAGGATGATGTGCCAAGATTATCCCTCGGCTTCACATACTTTATTTTGCAGTTTCCATCGAGTTGAATCCAACTCATGGCGACCCCATGTGTATCAGAGTAGAACCTTGCTCCATAGGGTTTTCAGTGGATGATTTTTCAGAAGCAGATTATCAAGCCTTTCTTCCAAAGCACCTGTGGATGGTCCAGAACCTCCAACCTCTTGGTTAGCAGCCAAGACTTCACCATTTACACCACCCAAGGACACCCCAGGTAAGCATACGGCCTCCTCCCAATCCAACTTGCCTACAGGTAAAATACCACGAGAATTACCTGTAGGCCTGGACTCAGCACTCCAAAATATCAGCCACTTCCTCTCAATGTACCACCCAATCCTACCACCTCTGCAGTGCATATACACACATGCATGCACACACACATGCACACTATCCTGCCCCTTGCATCTGGAGTATCCCCTTCCCATCACTGCTCACCCATCCTATATATTCTTCAAAATCCAGCTAAGAAGCTTCCTGGGATCCCTCTAATCCAAAGTCCTCTCTCCTCTTGGAGAAAACTCTTGACACTTCATCTGTTCTGTTTAAAACTAGCTCTTACTACTTCCTGCCTCCTTGGAGAGCTGTGAGCCTGTCTGGCCACCCACCCTTTGGACTATAAACTCCATAAGGACAGACCCTGCCTTCTGTTTGTGTCTTCCCCTTGCCCCCCACACAGAACCTGGCACTGGGTATAATCGAGCTTGCCTAGTTAATGCGTGAAGCCAAGACCACTTCATTGTGGACCTCCTTAGCAACCTTTCACACATCAGTATATTAAAAATGAAACCAGCTACATTTTTTCCAAGCCTAGGAGCCCTAGCAGCACAACAGTTAGGTGCTTGACTGCTAACCAAAAGGT